GCATAGTACTTTGAGAAATCTACCTGATTATAGCAAAACAAATTTCATTGCTATAATTGGGTGGATTTTTCTAGTACAATATGGGAAATCTACAGAAAAGTCTCAAACTTTTTGAAAAAGTTTCAATAAAGTCCTAAAAAAAAAAATTTAAACAGAAAAGTCATGATTATTAAACATTTTGCCCAAATTAACGAAAAAAACTTTTTTACATCACAATTGAATTGGCATGCATTAGGCTTGTTTGTGATCTATTGTTTGTGCAAAAGACCTACATATTATCCTCATCACACAACCATATAAAAATGAGATCCACAAGATAAAAAAAAATGTAAATGAATATTTATTAAATAAATATAACCTTATATTCTTATTACAGGTGGAGCTAATGTGTATGCAACTAAAAAGAGCCAAACCCCGAATGGATAATCAAGACATGGAACTAACCTCAGACATGATGACTGTATTGTTAGCCGACACAGACCGAATATCTGAATGTGAAGCTATTAAAAGATTGGCAAACAAGTTATCTTTAAACACTCTTGAGGAATTAAGGGTTGAAACTATTGTTATAAGGAAACTTGTGAAAGAAAGAAGAGGACAAAACGCAGAAGGAACCGAGAAGATTATAAATCTTCTTGATAAATTTAAAAGATTTGCGGGAATTGAACAAGCTAATGTTCTTGATGATCCTGCTCCATGTAATAGAACGCTACAAAAATGCGCGTCTATTACGATTCCGTTTGAGTTTTTGTGTCCGATCACTTTGGAAATGATGAGGGATCCTGTCATTGTCGCAACGGGTCAGGTGAGTTTACATGATCCATGCATTATGATGTTTACTTTGTCATAATGTTTTGTCAGGGAAAAATACAGAAAAACACAATGTATTTTCATAATTTTATAGTTTTTGTGATTAAACTTTGTTCATTTTTTTTACCTATAAAAAAACTTTTCTTGGTTACCGGTTTTGATACCAAGCAAAATCTAGAAAAGTACAATGTACTTTCACAAATTATTATTGATTTGGTTACCGGTCAATTTATGTGGCTAAATTGATAAAAATATAAAAATACGTTGTATTTTGTATATATGTTTACTTGTTAGGGTTAATGACTTAGTATGAAACAAGTTTATTTATCAATTTATGTAATCATATTTTAATTTGTTACAAACGAGTTACAAAAAATCCGGTTTGTCATATAAATTAGTAGAAAAAATTAAAACATTGTTGCATAAATATATAAGAAAGTTGCTCCAAGAGGCTCTCACCTTTCATAAACGTTACAAGTAGGTCACACAACTAGAAAAAAAAAGTCGAAAGAAAACAAAGGGCATCCAACTTTATAATAAAATAATCGTTATGCCATTTCAAAATAATTAAACCAAATCTGGTATAAAGTTCAGGGGTACTTTTTGCCAATCTTACAAAGTTAAATCAATACTTTAATTTTTTATTTATACTTGGTATGAAGGATGCAAGTTAACGAAGTTAATGCATTGATGACTTTACTGTATAAGTTTCTAAAACAACCCTTCACCGCCACCGTATCAAACCACCACCATCAACCACCCCATCACCACCGTTCCCCAACCCCCGCATGTTTTTTCTTTTCTTGCTTTTTTGACCTAAAGATTTTAATCCAAAGTCTTGAACTTTTTGTCATTTTTTGATGTATTTTCCGGTGATTGATGATTGTATTATGATCTTTCATTGCAGACATACGAGAGAGCAAGCATACAACAATGGCTGGATTCCGACCACCAAACCTGCCCAAAAACCGGCCTACATTTAACCCACACCGCCTTAGCACCAAACGTCGCCCTCCACAACCTAATACTCCAATGGTGCGAAACCAACAACTACCAACTCCCCAAAAAAGACCCACCGCCGCCGCCCAAAATCACCCGCGCCGACAAAGTCATAACCCTAATCCAAAACCTTTCCTCCAGCCAATTACAAATCCAACGAAAAGCTGTGACCAAAATCCGTATGATTTCACGAGAATCCCCGGAAAGCCGAGTTTTAATCGCCGACAACGGCGGAATTCCGCCGCTCGTCCAGCTCCTTTCCTACCCCGATTCCAAAATCCAAGAACACGCCGTCACCGCCTTACTAAACCTCTCGATCGACGACAAAATCAAGAAACAAGTATCAAAAGAGAATCCGATTCCGGCGATAATCGAAATCCTCCAAAACGGAACCATCGGAGCTAAAGAAAACTCCGCCGCAGCGTTGTTTAGCTTATCGATGATCGACGAAAACAAAACGTTGATCGGAGCTTCAAACGGAATTCCGCCATTGATCAATTTGTTAACCGAAGGAACAATCCGCGGCAAAAAAGACGCCGCTACCGCTTTGTTTAACTTAACGCTTTCGCATCCAAACAAAGTCAGAGCAATCGAAGGTGGCGCCATTAAACCTTTACTGAAAATGCTTGAAAACGAGAGATTAGACATGGTTGATGAAGCTCTTTCGGTGCTTTTACTGCTTGCAGCGCATCCCGATGGGAGGAAGGAATTAGGGCAACTTTCGTTTATTGAAACTCTTGTGAGGTTTATGCGACAAGGGACCCCGAAGAACAAAGAATGTGCAAGCGCAGTCCTTCTAAAACTCTGTTTGAACAATTCTAACCTTTTGTTGGCTGCTCTTCAGTATGGGGTTTATGAGCACGTGGTGGATATTTCGCAGAATGGGACAAAACGTGGGCAGAAAAAGGCGGCTGCGATTTTTCAGCTTATGAATAAAGGTGACAGATTTCTTTCTAGAACGTAGTGAGGTGAAATATCGAATCCTTGTTTATAGTTATGTTTTAGGTGTGAAATTATGCCTTAAAATTTATATATCGTTTAGATTAGTTATGTGTTAGTTATGACTTATGAGGATATTGTAGATCAGGGGTGGATCCACATTGTAGTGTTTTGTCGTGTAAAAATGAATAATAGTATTACAAAATTCAATTATAGTGTGTGAATAAGACAGAAAAATACAAATGGTTGCAGATGAAACAGGTCAAAATGCAAAAAGATAGCACAAAGACCGATTTCAGTTACAGATGAGTTTCATTTCGTTTTGGTTTTTTATCGTGATGGATTTTATTTTATTTTTTTTGATAAAAAAATGAACTTTTTTATATAACTTACAATTACAAAATATAATTATAGCTTTACAAGATGGGATACTCGTATTTACAAAAGACGTCAATTCCCTTTGCATTCCCATAATCGAAAATATCCATAGAAAATTTGTATTGTCCCTCTTATACAATTCAATCCAATCCAATCATGTATTCTCCCGTGTAAAAAATTTAGACTACCCTTAACCCACGTTGTTGTCGTCGACGTCGAGGGTCCTCAACGGCGTTATGGTGTCCGGCGTTGCCACAGTAACAAGTTGCAACGTGTATTTGGGCGATGAATGCGAACATTTTTCAAACGACTTTGACCACTAACGGTCATATTAGCAGGGGCGGAATTAGCTAGTTGGCATGAGGAGCGTTTAGCTTTTAACCTAAATCAAAAGCTCTAAAATCAAACGCTATATGAAGAAGCGTTCAAGAAAAATCTATTGGGCTTTGCATTCAATTTCCAGATTTGCCCACAATTAATAATTTTGATCGTACTCCTTATTTCTTCTCGATCTCTGTGATTTGCTTTAAACCTAACAACTAACGAACCTCTACCCCTTGCCGCCATTGCTAGATCAATCACCTCCTGCTGCTGTTTGCACCGGTAAGTATTTTTTTTCTTTAACAAATTGTCATATCTATTAACAGTACGTATAAGTTTGGTTTGTGTGGTTTTTCTCCCTACATCGGTACTTCTCTAGAATAAAATAAGAACCATCAACCATGCTTCTCTTTTAAATAAAAAATCTTGCTTTGACTTTTGTATTTTGTTCACAACCTTTTTTTATTGTAGCCACGTGAAAGACTACAACTTTTGTCCTTGTTTTCTATATTACCTTCACATAGGCTCTTTATTGTACAGTAGAGTTGTTTTTCTAGGCTTTTCTTTATCATGGCACATCAATAAATAAAATTTCTAGATACAAAAGTTACTAAAAGATTGTTGGATGTTCCATATTAGGTCGAGTGATAAAGCAAAATAGATGCATCTTAAAAGCAAAAGTTACTGTTGGACAAGATTTGTCAATAACACATGTATTTTGTGGCTTAAAATCAATAGAATGCTTACTTTTTGTGCTATATGCTTTTACATACAAAATAATTTAGTATTAAATAAACTAAAACATATTTACTTTATGATCTTTTAGTGGTTTATGAAAATAGTTTATAAAATAATATGTCAGACAATTTTCCTGTAGGAACTTATGCTTCTAAAACTAGTAACACATTTTATGATTGTAAAGGTGTATCTATTTGTGATTTAAGCTCTGTACACTTTGTTTGTTTGTGTTGTTGGCCTGCATTATATGTGTTTATAAAGTTCAGTATTTGTGGATTTAATTCAACTTTAGGTACATACATGGCCTCCAACAATGAAAATGCAAAAAAAAAAAAGTTTGATTGGCCAGAGAAGTCTGTTATGATTTTTTGTGACATCTTAAAAATATATATTATGAAATATGGAGGTACTCAGCCAATTAAATGGCAAGATCTTCATCCAATTTTTGAGAAAGATGCTGCTACTAAGCTAAACAACTACAAAGCATTAAAGAACAAATATGATGGAATGCGAAAAGACTATAATTTGTGGAAGTCCTTAAAAAATGGAGAAACGGGTTTAGGTTGGAACGAAAGTACAGGACAACTAAATTGTTCAGATGAATGGTGGGATCGAAAAATTAAGGTAGTAAGCTTAAATCATTTTTATTATCATAAACTTTAGCGTTATCTTGAACACTAATAGTGAAAAATTATATCATGTAGGAAAACCCATATGTTAAAGTCATTCAAAAAAACAACCTTCTTTAGAACTACAACTTGCATGGGATCAAATCTTTGGGATGCACCAGTGGTATAAACTGTGTGGCACCGTCCATGGATCATACTACTTTAAATGGCATGCCTAATGTTAATATTGATGATGAAAATCCGGCAACGGGTGATAATGTTGAAACGGGTGATGACACTTTCTTCTCTTCACAATATCCTCAACACTCTTCTCATTTGGGCTTAGGAAATGAAGATGGTGGCTACTATTCAGATTTGATGCATTATGCAAGAGATGTATTCTCACCTAACAATATCGGGGGGTCTAATCAAGTCGAAAAGAGTTCCAAAGAAAGTTCTAAACTTAAACCTGTAGAAATGAAACGTAAAAAAAGAGCATCGGCTGGATCTATAAAGTTACAGGAGCTTCTAACTGAACAAAATGTTATTCAAAAACGTGCTTTAGCAATATTAGAGTCAGATTCCCCTTCTTTTACCCATAGCCATTATTTTAGTATAAATGCATCCGTAACCTTGATTAACCGAATGGTCAATGATGAATTAATGACAAAATGGAGCGCGTTGTGGTGTTTTGCAATGAGTTTATTTGAAGATGCAGTGAAGAGGGAACTATTTATGAGTCTTCCGGATGATAGTGGCAGGTTGGCATGGTTGAACTATAAGAAAGACGGCAACTAAGTTTAATTGGTTAACATTGTCGATGATTCATTTTAGATTATTTTTTTCGTTTATTTGATTAGGTCATTTTCATTTGGATACTTGTCTATTTAGATTTAATTCGTTTTTTTTTATTGTTTATTTGATTAGGTATTTTCATTTGGATACTTGTCTATTTGAAATTTTAATGTGAAATCTATGATTTATTATGCCTTGTGTTTTAATGAATTTTTTAAATTTAGTCTAAATTGAACTAGATTCCTACTTATTTTATGCTGATAAAAATCATCTTTAATAGGTACAAACCCTTCAATGGATATTGAAAGAAAGAAGAGGAGAAAAAAACTTTATTGTTTACAATTAATATTGAATTCATGCTTTACAACTGCCATAGCTTCTACGTACTTTTATAAGTATATGTATAAGGTACCTTGTATCAACTCAAACAAGAGAGGTTTGGATGAAGGAAATTTTAAATGGTAATCCTATTCGATGTGTTAATGCATTTGGAATGCATCCAAGTGTGTTCATGAAGCTTTGTAAAGAACTTGAACTAAAATATGGATTAAAGTCAAGTGATAACATGTCAACCGTTGAAAAGTTGGGAATATTCGTATACACACTCGCGATAGGTTTGTCTAATAGAGATGTTGGGGAGCGATTTCAACGATCAGGATATACTGTTAGTAGTGCATTTCATGATGTTTTAGAGCCAATAACTGCCTGAGGAAATAGTTTTAACGGTCTAGCACGTGACATTATACGACCAAAAGATCCAACCTTTCGATTAATACCATTGCAAATCAAGAATGATAGAAGATACATGCCATATTTTAAGGTATGATATTTGTATGTTTGTTTTAATTTTTTAATACCATATGTCATTATTATTATTATTATTATTATTATTATTATTATTATTATTATTATTATTATTATATTTTTAAAAAATGAATTTATGATTGCATTGGATGTATTGATGGTACACATATAGCCGCATGTATCCCTGAAACTTAACAATTGCGCTATATCGGTAGAAAAGGGATACCGACATTTAATGTAATGGCAACTTGTGATTTTGATATGTGTTTTACCTTTGCATCTGTTGGATGGGAGGGTTCTGCACATGACACACGTGTTTTCCTTCATGCAATTAACACGCCATCAATGAACTTTCCAAAACCACCTTAAGGTAAATTATCCTTATCTTTATTATTTTCTTAATATGATATAAGTAACATTGCAATTTTTTTGTTCTCCTCCAATAAAATAGGTAAATATTATTTGGTAGATAAAGGTTATCCAGATAGAAATGGGTATATGGTTCCGTATTCCAAAACAAGATACCATCTATCTCAATTTGAAAATGAGCCTCCAAATAATATGCAAGAAACTTTCAACCGTTCACATTCATTACTGCGAAGTTATATTGAAAGATCATTTGGAATCTTGAAGAGTCAATGGAAAATACTCCATAAAATGCCCAAATTTAGTGTGGAAACTCAAATTGTCGTTATTATGGCTACATTTGCCTTGCATAACTACAATCGTCGTAATGCTGAGCAAGCAAAGTTTTTGATATCGTGGAACTATATCCAGATTGCATACCAAATGATGAACCTCGTGATGTTCGCGGTAATGACGGAAGTAATGAAGACTTATACGAAGGATCTAATAATATGAAGCGCATTCGCAATGATATTGCTACTTTAATATGGAATGCTCGACGTCGATGATTTTATCAATAGTTTTTACATTGCAATATAACTTGTGATTATTGTAATGGAACATAGTTATGCAAAGTTACTAAATTTTAAGAATTGTAGTTCGACAATCTTTTATTTATTTGTTATGTTTCATAATTAAAATTTAAACAAGTGCCCTTTTATGTAATTTTACACATTTCAAAAGCTTCCAGCTACTTCTGCCAAACACTCTTATAACAAATAAAAACTATAGCTTCCAGCTACCCGCTACCCGCTACCAGCTACCAGCTAACAGCTACCCGCTACCCGCTTCCAGCTAGTTTTGCCAAACACGCCCTAAAATAAAAATATTATATTCAAGTCCATTTTTTCCTTTTCGATTGACCGTCTCACATAATCGATGACAGCCCGTATTATATTGAAGCCTATTTACCTTGTGTATACATTCTTATGACTTATGAGTTACGACGGAAACTTATGAGTTACGACGGAAGGAAAAACACTTGAAGTCAATATCTTCCTTTTCGATTGACCGTTTCCTGCTTGCCCCATCTTCAAGACAACCTTTTTGTCAATTAAGATTCTTCTCCAATTTGGCACTTGCTCACTTACGGAATCCTCATGAAACAAGTATTTTTTCAATTTTCATCTTTAATGTTTTATGTTTTAGTTTAATTTAGTTCTTAAAATTAAAAACCTAATTAGTCAATTTGTTGTTCCATTGTTATGATGTTGGTGATATAAGGTTTAAATCTTTAATTGTGAATTTTAAATTAAAAGTGTGTTTGTAGGGTTTAATTTGAAATTTTTTTAAAAGAACATTAGATGTTGGTAGTAGTGATGAAAGTGGTGAGAAAAAATACCTTAATTGAAATATGTTTTTCCACAATAACGTTCTTGAATACCGACTTGTGTAATAAAATGTGTGATGATTTTATGAACGATGCTTTAATTTGCAGTGTAGAAAAAGAATCACTTCTGGGTTTTAAGATCGAACAAGTAATGGGGCACTTTCAGAAAATGAGTAAACGATACCAACTTTGAAATGTAAGACTTTTGCGGTACTTTGTTATTTCTAAAGAAATTGTGTGTGTGTGTGTGTGTGTGTGTGTGTGTGTGTGTGTATATATATATATATATATCTTTTATTAGGATATTTTTGTGCTACCCCTTACAAGATTTTCTGGTTCCGCCACTGCATATTAGATTAAAAAAAAGTAATAATAATTAATTTTCATTTACGAATACATACATACAATCTATATCAAATTCATTCACTTCATTCTTTCTTTCTCTACATTTTATAAAATTTCAATACTTCCCTATTAAAAAAATGGATCTGTTTGATCCGTTCGCCCCATCCAACGATGATGACGATGCAGATATCTTCGTTAGTATGATGTACGAGTATTGTACAAATGTGTTACTACAATCAGATTCAGCTCCACTACTAATACGATGTGCGATGTTAAACAGAGATCGCTAAGAAGGCATCGATGTCTAGTTCACGAGTATTCTGTGGATAATTGTGTCTATCAAGCAATCGATTTCAAAAGAAGGTTTCGTTTGCAAAAAAGTGTGTTTGTACGGATAACTAACGCCTTGGAAAACATGTATCGTTTCTTTCAATTTTTGTAATGTATGAAAGTAGCTTTTAGATAAAATAAATACATTTTTTTACCTATTAAGTTTAGATATGAATTTTTCCAATTGAGATATTATGCTAGAGGTAAGCGATGATTTATAGAGTTGTAGAAATGTGTTGCGGTAATTAAGCTTATGGCTATGGGGAAGTTGCCCGATTCTATTGACGATTATATAAGAATGTTTGAGAGAACTGCAAGAGAAAATTTGTATATAACGGCGTGAGGTGTTGTTGAAACCTTCAATGACGTTTATTTGTGCAAACGTTCGTTGAACGCTATGCAACAACTATATGCGACACATCAAGAAAGACGTGGTTTTCAGATATGCTCGAAAGCATATATTACAAAGATTTGGAACTCGAGAAATTGTCCCCTGGTGTGGAAAGGTCAGTCTGCAAGTGGTCATCATGGAACGCCTCCGTTGGTATTAGAGGTTGTTGTTTCCCAAGATTTATGGATTTGGCATGCCTTTTTCTGGGTTGCGGGTTCCAACAACGACATCAATGTTCTTGATCAGTCACTAATATTTGACGATCTTTTGTCAGGAAAGACACTGGATACTCATTTCACAGTGAATAGAAATGAATATAAGTTTGGGTATTACCTTATGAATGAAATATACCCACCATATTCTACATTTGTGAAGGCGTTTCGACACCCAGTAGAACCAAGAGACAAAATTTTCAAGAGAAGACAAGAAGAGCACGTAAGGATATGAAACGTTCTTTTAGAGTTCTAAAATCAAAATAGCACATAGTTGTACATGCGGTACAACATTATCAGTTAGAAATTCTACGAGATATCGTGTATGCATATACCATAATGCATAACATGGCGATTGAAGATAAATGATAAATTATTGCGGAGTATTTGGGTACGAAACTCAGACACGTGCAATTTCAACCAGGGACAACGAAATATTTACATAGAGTCGTTGATATTTAAGACACGAAAACACAGACAACTTTGAGAAGACTTGACAGATTATATGTACGATTATAACCAAGATGAATAATTTAGGGGAAAAATGTATTTTTTTTAAATGTTATTTGTTTTTTGTTTCAAAATTAGGACTATCATATCTTTTTTCGTGTAATGTTGGTTTTAATATTTAAATGTTATGTTTAATTTAGAATTTATTTAAATAACATGTTTTATTAACTTATATTTGTTGTATAATTAATAAAAAATCGAAAAAAGAAATAAATCGAAAACAAAATAGAAAAGAAATAAATCGAAAAAATTTTAAAAAAAATCGAAAAAAAGTGATGACACGGAAATTAATGGGTGTTATAACATGTTGTTCATTTCCTCAATTGGTGTTATAACACCATGGGTGACATGGTATGTGAAGTAGCATTTTTTTGGGAAAACGACTCTTAAGGGTAACTAACTATTGCATTTGTTCTCATTTGGTCCCTTTTCTTTTTTTGTACTCAATATACCATCGAACTTGTTGTTTGTGTTTACCATAACCCTTTTGACCGACTTTTGACATGTGATAGCCGGTTAAAGAGTTATGGTGAACACAAACAACAAGTTCGATGGTATATTGAGTACAAAAAAAAGAGGAAAGGGACCAAATGAGAACAAATACAACCGTTGGTTACCCTCCTGATTCATTTTCCTTTTACTCATTTGCAGCAAATCTCACGTCATCTCATATTGA